AGAGCGGTGTGGTCTCGCCCAACTCTGGCTTCATGGGCCAGCTCCTGCGTATGAATCTGAGATCCTGCCTTCCATGCCCACTCCCCAGGTTCCCTCCTGCCAAGGGGAGGCAGCCAGCTCTTCCTTCAGAGCCCATTTGCAGACACTGGGCCCTGATGTGCAGGGTTCCTACTATACATTCCCTACCTCGGTGCTGGCACAAGTGCCCACCCACTCCATGGTCTCAGAGCTCAGCAGGAGCCCCATGGCCACAGCCACATCCTGCTAAAACTGGATGGATGGGGAACCCACCCAGCCCCAAGAAAAACTGATTTTGTTTTTTAAACTGGTGGACATTTCATACCTGGGCAATACTGAAGACCCCCTCTGTCCTGCTGCCCCTGTGGGACAGCGAAGGGTCCCCAGGTTTGCAAACAAACTTCAGACTGACCTCGGGGATAGGTTCTCCGGACCGAAGGAAGGTGAAGCCATTATGAGAGCACAGCTTGTGCTAACTACTGTGCTTCCAGACCCCTCTGCCCTCTCAAGACTGCTCAGTCCTGGCACCTCAAAGTTCGCCTTTTCATGTCAAGCAAGCGTAAGGCAATAGACACCTGCAGCAACATGGGAGAACGCAGTTGCTAGACCCAGAGAAAAGGCAGTTAAGAAGTGGCAGTCTCCATGTCTGTCTCTGTTGCTTCAGGGAATAAGCCGATCTAGTCAGGCAAGTATCCCTATGGGATTTGTAGGGACCCCATATATATGCTGATTTGAACCCTCATATCCTTTTTAGATTCCCTCTGAGGCCCCATAGACGCAGTTTGTTGAAGTAACAAGATGTTAACACTTCCGAGTTGCCTTTTCACTGTGGGTTCCTCCCTGACTTTGGACTTTGGCGTAACTTTTACTCATACTTGAACCTTTCTTGTTACACCTCTACTCAGAGCAACTCTTGTGTCATTTTGAAGAGAGTTCCTTAGACTATAGACCAAAAAATCACCCATTTGAAGTGGTGGCGTGGGGCCAGAAGAAAAGGGTATCTACTGTCTGGGTCAGAGTCATTGACATGGTCTTTTCCCCAGCTTGCCGTCTTTATATGTGCTTGTCTCATCTCTTGTAACACTTTTTCCCCCCCTATCCCTGGAGATTGTCTTCAAGATGTTGATGTCTAGAATTTGTAGATTTCGCAGTGTGGTACAACTTTATATTTTGTCTAGGTTATTTCTCCAGGGGAAAAGGCAATAATTTCCTAAAATCCATACGAATGTGAAGACAAGCAGTATGTTATTGGTTGTCATTTTTTACAGTATTAAATAAAAATAGTAAAAAGAAAAATATCCTCAGGTGAGGATTAAAAATAAAAGTCAACAAGAGTATATGCTTGTGTCAATTTCACCAAAACCTTACTAACACACGATGTTATAGTACAGTGGTCGGCAAACTGCGGCTCCCGAACTACACGCAGCTCTTTGGCCCCTTGAGTGTGGCTCTTCCACAAAATACCACGTGTGGGCGCGCATGTACAGTGCGATTGAAACTTCGTGTCCCATGCGCAGAAGTCGGTTTTCAGCCTGGGCGAGGAGTCTATTTTGAAGAAGTGGCCTTAGAAGAAGTGGGGGATGTCGGTAGGTTGGGCGACGCCACAGGATACCAGCGTGGGGGGAGGCGCCAAATATCAACAGTACTTAAACTATATAGGTAGGTTAATAACAATGTACCTACCTATATAGTTTAAGTTTAAAAAATTTGGCTCTCAAAAGAAATTTCAATCATTGTACTGTTGATATTTGGCTCTGTTGACTAATGAGTTTGCCGACCACTGTTCTAGTATTTAAAAATTACCAATATAGTGGGTGTAAAGGATGATCTCTCATCTTAACGCCTTCTTCTCCAGTCTTCCAGACCTCCCTTGTCCTCTCAAGACTGCTCAGTCCTGGCACCTCAAAGGTCCTGGCACCCGAGGGCCACCTGGGTCCTTTGCTCTCAGCTGCTGCCAGGTAATTTCCCAAAAGGTGTCAACTGGTAGTAACCTGAAGAACTGCCCTAATTGGGACTTGAAAAGCTGTAAGCACAGACTCGTACTAGGCAGCAGTGAGTTCCCTGAGGGTTCAAGTCTCAAAGAATTGCTGGTATTTGGGCAGCAACTCACAGACCTGAACTTCTTGGTACTTGTACCACTTAAAAATACTAAAATTTAGGAAACCAATCTTCTTTTAAAGTTTAAAACTATTTCATTTTTTTTGTCAAAACAATGAGGATACATATTAATATCCCAATTTTATAGATAGGAAACTCAAGATCAGAGATGTGAAATCACTTGTTCAAGGCCATCCTGCTCAAATGGCAGGACCAGGATTTGAACCCCTAACTGGCTGCCTAGTCTGTGCTCTACCTCTGCCTCCTAAGGTGCCCTGTCCTCAGCTGGAGCCTCCTAGGTCTCTGTAACACTGCCCTTCCACCCCATTCCCACCTCGGCACTAAATAAATCTGGTGGCCCTTCTTCTTCTGTTAGCTGAAAGGGTCTCCTGGGAGTTCCAGAAGGCTCTTTTCAGTGACTTTTTTTTTTTCCCTGATAAGAGCTGAGGCTAGAGTCACCTCTAACCAGCATGGGGAGAAAGGCTATAGAGTCCAGAGTGTAAGTTTGCACCATGAAATCCTAGGGATAAATAGGGCAGTATAAACATTGGGTCTCAAGAATGGGATCTGGAGCCAGACTGCTAGCTTCAAACTTTGGTTCTGCCACTTACAAAGCTTTATGATTTGGGTATATTTCTTCACCTTTCTGCGCTGTTTGCTTGCCTGTATAATTGAAATAATACCAACTACATGTCCTAATTTGGGGATAAGTTCTTTTTTTTAAAAAAATATATTTTACTGATTTTTTAGAGAGAGGGAGAGGGATAGAGAGTCAGAAACATGGATGAGAGAGAAACATCTATCAGCTGCCTCCTGCATACTCCCCCCTGGGGACGTGCCCGCAGCCAAGGTACATGCCCTTGACCGGCATCGAACCTGGGACCCTTGAGTCCGCAGGCCGACGCTCTACCCACTGAGCCAAACCAGTCAGGGCGGGGATAAGTTCTTTTAAATGCCTCTAAGAACCCAGCACAGTGTCTGGAATACAATAAAGGCCCCATAAACATTATTAGAGGGATGTGAGGACCTACACATCCATTTGGGACCCAGCCTGTGATGATGCGGGGGATGGCTTCCATGTGTGTGTGCTCAGCTCCGCGCATGGCTGCATGGGGCCCTGCACTGTGGGCACTGGCTGGTGGGGAGGGAGGCAGCAGAGTAGGATCAGGGATGGGCAGAGCCAACGACAGCACCTGGGACTGCCCTCCCTGTATTCTCGCTGTGTTCGGATGTGTATGTGTGTGGTGGAGGTTGTATTTGTGTATTGATGTAGCTCTGAAAACTATGAACATGTGGGGGGCAGGACTCAATAGAACTATGTCCCCTAGGGATCCAGGGCAGAGTGCTGATGACTGAGAAGATGCAGGGCTGTGTTCACTGGGTAACTTCCTGTCTCCTGGCCCATCTGCAAAGCCCCAGAGCATGTGTTTTAACCTTTTTGTGATCAACCCCCAAGCTGTGTGGAGGGGCCCAATATATCACAATAATTTGGAGGTCACCTTCCCCTAAAGCCTCTTGGCATCCCTGCTTCCGTAGTCACCTGAGCCCTGCAGGAAGTGACCCAGAAGTGTCCTGGTTTCCCCACTGAAATCAGCAACGATGGGATATCCGGACCAGGCCCCGTCCCAAGTCGGGAGACAGGACTGGGGTCACGTACCATCCGCACATCTAGCCAGCCTTATGTAAGTGCGGAGACTCCGAGGAGCCAGGACTGTCTGTTGTCGTCTCAGAGCCTCAATCATGTATTAAAAATGTTATGGAGAACCTCAGTCCAGAGCTATAAACAAGACACAACCTGCCCTTGCAGGTAGTACATTTAAGCAGGAGATGCTAAGCCACTAACCCCAGGGCAACTTCCTTAATTACAGTTAGCAGTAAGGGCTAGGCAGAGATACAGGGTGTGCAGCAACAGGGCATGAATGGGGACAGTTACTGGAGTCGGTCCCTGAGTAATCCTGCAGGAGAGAGCGCTTCAGGTGAAGGACGGAGCCATGGTAAAGGCCTGTGTGGGGATAGAGGGGAGGCACTTAAGCAATCATAGAGCTGGGGGAAGTGGGATGCAGGACAGTTGGGCAGGCCAGCAGGCCCGGGCTAACAAGGAGATGCCAGGGGCGGGCCTGTAGAGAGAGGGTTTCAGATATTCATATTGCTTAGGCTTGGGCCAGGCTCGGGGAACGTGTGGAAGGCGGTGATGAGGAAGGGCAGCTCACAGATGGGAGGCTCTGGGCCAAGGTTCGGAGCTGGGCCCGTGTAGAGCATATGCAGGGAGTGGGAACAGCCTATGAGCAGAGACAAAATTTGACATGGAGCAGAGGGAGCCAAGTGAGCAGCAGTTTTAGGGGAACCCCTCCCCACACACATAATGGGGCTCCCTTATCTTACCATTTGGGAAGGCAGGCTTGATGCCACCATCTTGGCTCTTGCTGGGTTGGTGAGAAAGTGAAGCACATCGAATCCAGACCCCAAACAGTCAAGTCTCCAGCCAAGACTAGGTGGTCCCGTGTGGCAGCAACAGCAGCAGCAGCAGCTGGATGACATGCTGAGGGGCCACTGAAGGTGGTATTTCTGAGTGGGGGCTTGTTCACCCACTCACTAACTCATCCATTCTTCTATGCATACATCAAGCCTGTGCCCGACACTGTTCTAGGGACCTGAGAGACGGGGTGCTCTGCCTCCAACAGTCTGGCTAGGCCTGATATGGGGAACCACAGGCTGGCAGAATGGAGCCAGAGCACTGAGTGCCAGCCCAGAGCGAAGGACCCAGCAGGAAGGCCTGTTTCCTCATCATGCTCACTCTCCATTCAGTCCGCTGCAGGAGCTATGTGCCACCACGTGGCCTCCCGTAATGCTATGTACCTTCCCCGAGTTACATGATAACAGGCCCGAATCCTTCAACTCTTCCAGGGAAACGTAATCACCAACAAAAACAACACAGGAGGCCTGGCTTGCTGATCACAACTCTCCTCACCATCCCCATCTGATCAAAGGTGGGCTCTGGCTCTATCTACCAGAGGACTCAAGGAAAACAGCAGGCTCACGATGGGACACCAGGCCGGGTCGACAGTCCACTTCTACCCCTCTGCTCTCATCACCGTCTCCTGTGAGCCAAGTTCATCCCATCTCCATCACCCCTATGCTCCACTTCACTTCCTCTCCGAGCCCTGGCCATGCTCAATATTACATCAGTGGGCTCTGTCCCTGCAGGGCCACAGTTTAGCAACGGCTTGTTCCTTCCTCTTCCTTTGGCCAGAGCTGCAGCCAGGTTTCCCTCACCATAGGTCCTACCAGGTTCCAGCCACACGTCTCCCCTTCAGGCCCAGGGGCTCTCCTGGGGCCCACACCTTGTTGGCTTCCCAGCCCTCTCTGAGCATGCCAGCTGCACTTGGACACACCACCTTCAAAGCCCCACTGCAAGCTCATATTTCCCAACCTCACAGGCACAGTAGCTTCTCATCTTGACCTCTTAAGGCTTTTTAAAAAAATGTTTTTATTTATTGATTTTTGAGACTGAGGGAGGGAGAGGGGAGATTGAAATATTGAGAAACATCATTGATTGGCTGCCTCCTGCACACCCGCTACTGGGGATTGAGCCTGCAACCCGGGCATGTACCCTCATCCGAAATTGAACTGGTGACCTCTTGGTTCCTGGGTTGATGCTCAATCACTGAGCCACATTGGCTGGGTGCCCCTCAAAGCTTTTAATCTCTACCACAGAAGGAAACTGGGATCTGACCAACAGGCAAACCACGGGATGGTTCTTCGCTGTAGGAGTGTTCACATCCTCCAAGCACCTCTGGTGGTGAGATGTATGATCTCATCCCCACAGCCTACTGGTTTCAAAGACCTAGAAGGAGGGATATCCCGTTTATTTATGCCACACCCTTTTTGCCAGAGGACCCACAATCCTGCCAGAAGTGTACATCTTCCCCATTTCACAGTGGAGTAAACCAAGGCTCAGATTCATAAAGGGATGTGCCCAAGGTCGCTTAGATGAGAAGGGTTGGGTTGAGGTAGAATCCAGGCTGTTTAACTCCAATAACATTGGGCTGTGGGTGCAGAGAGCCCCCAGGGTCAATCGCAGGGTTGTGCCTGCACGAGCTGGAACTGTCCGTGAGATGAACCCTTCAGGAGTGGCCTGGGTTGCGTGCTGCCCTCCACATCTGCAGCATGGATCCCGGCGG